GGGAAAGAGACTGCCCCAGGGAGGAAAGCGCTCTGGGTGATGATCTGTCATGATCTGCGTAAAGCTGGTGAGTACTGGTGGGCAGGAAATGCTTTCTGAATAAAGTCCGCATAAAGGAGCGGTTCTTCCATGGGGCCCTGGGGCCAGACCCTTCCCCTCTTGGGGTCACCTGTGTAAAATCAGAAGGGTGAACTACTTTGGTGCTTTGGGGGCCCACCTCTGCCCGGGGCCTCCATGCGGTTGACGCCTGTGTGCCTTGCTTCCCCAGACAGCTCAGCAGCTCCTCCTACGGCGGGGATGTCAGCCGGCACCACACCAGCACCGCGGAGCTGCAGAAGCCCAGGCCCGTGGAGGAGGACACCTGGAAGCTGATGGAGGCAGACAAGGCTCAGACTGGGCAGGTGAGGGCGACGGCCCGCGTCGCTGTGCGTCCCTGGGGGCTGGGCCCTGTGCGGAGTGCTGGGGTCATCTTAATTCACGTCTTCCTCACAAGGAGCCTCGAAAGGTACTGTTTTAAGGGCCGGAAACCAGACCGGAGGGCCTAGGTGACTTGCCCCAGGTCACAGCTGGTGCGTGACAGAGCTGGGATTTGAACCCAGCACTCAGACTCCAGGGTTGGTATCTGTAGTCTCTGCCGTCCTGACCACCGCCTCCTTTGAGCAGCTGGGGCCCTTGTTAGCCGTAGGTGACCCGGATGCCTTAAATCAGGGCTTCCCACCTCACAGGGTTCAGTTGTGTGTGCCTTGGTTTCAGGTCATCACAGACTCAGCCCTATAGAACATTAATTATGTAGTCAGAAAAAATTGTTTTTCACTTTTTAATTTCTATTTTTGCCCTTATGATTACAGGCAGATCCTGTTTTATTGTGCTTTGCTTTATTGCACTTAACAAATACTGCATTTTTTACAAATTGGAGGTTTATGGCAATCCTGCGTGGGACACTGGTGCCATTTTTCCAGCAGCATTTGCTCACTTTGTGTCTCTTTGCCACATTTGGTAGTTCTTGGAATATTTCACACTTTTTCGTTAGTATTATAATTTGTTATTATTACTATATAAAATATTATATTGGTTATTATTATACTATATTAACATTATATTATGATATTTGTGATCTGTGATCTTGGATGTTACTACTACAACTCACTGAAGGCCCAGACGATGGTTAGCATTTTTTAGCAATCAAGTATTTTTTAAATTAAGGTGTGTACATTGTTTTTTTAGACATAATGGTATTGCATTGCACACTTAATAGACTACAATATAGTGTAAACATAACTTTTATATGCACTAGGAAACTGGAAAATTCATGTGACTCACTTTATTGTGATGTTTGCTTTATTGCAGTGGTCTGGAACCAAACCCATAATGTCTCTGTGGTGTGCCTGTATGTCAGTGAGAAAGTCTCGGCCGGGGCTTTGTTTTTAATACCTGTCTTAGTCCCTTTGGGCTGCTGTAACAGAAGACCATGGTAGAGGTGGCTTAGAAATGACATACGTTGGGGACTTCCCTGGCAGTCCAGTGGTTAAGACTTCCTGTTCCAATGCAGGGGATGTGGGTTCAATCTCTGGCCAGGGAGCTAAGATCCCACAAGCCTCGGGGCCAAAAATCCAAAACGTAAAACAGAAGCAATATTGTAACAAATTCAGTAAAGACTTTAAAAATGTTCCACATCCAAAAAGAAAGACAAATGACATACATTTATCACTCATAATTCTGGATGCTGGCAAGTCAGAAATCATGGCATCAGCAGATGCAGTGTCTAATGAGATCTTCCTGTTCATAAATGGCCATCTTCTTGCTGTGTCCTCACATGACAGAAGGGATGAGGGAGCTCTTTGGGGCCCCTTTTATAAGGGCACTAATCCCATTTATGAGGACTCCACCCTCATGGCCTAATTGCCTCTCAAAGGCCCTACCTTCTAATACTGTCACATGGAGGGTGGGGGATTAGGGTTTCAACTTAAAAATTCGGGAGGAGACGCGAACATTCCATCTATAGCACAGAGACTTGGAAAGTAAAAAGGAAACACTCAGTGACCTCTGTTCTTCCACCTGCTTCATTTTTGTTTGTTTGTTTTGTTTTTGTTTTTTAGTTTTTTTGTTTGTTTGTTTTGTTTTTTGTGGTACGCGGGTGTCTCACTCTTGTGGTCTCTCCCGTTGCGGAGCACAGGCTCTGGACGCGCAGGCTCAGCGGCCACGGCTCACGGGCCCAGCCGCTCCGTGGCATGTGGGATCTTCCCAGACCTGGGCACGAACCCGTGTCCCCTGCATTGGCAGGCAGACTCTCAGCCACTGCGCCACCAGGGAAGCCCTCACCTGCTTCCTTTTAACCAGATTGCACCTCAAACAGATGATGTTTATGACCCAAAATTCAGCATGAAAAGCCTGATGTGACAATGAGCACACACACAGGGAAAGATACCTGGAGTTTGTTGAAACCACACCAAGCGGGTTGGGTGTGGGGCTGGCCCAAAGCACATTGTCCCTGTCTGTGGTGTTCAGCCACCCTTTGAGTGGCTACACATAATTACGTAGCCCCCATGCTGGGCTCCATAGGGATATAGGGATATAGGAGTGAAAGAAGCCCCCAACTGTCACCTGGTGGAGTTGGGGAACGGGCTGAGCATTGGGAGGCCAGTTGCGATTGGGAGGAATTGGTGTTGGGTGTTCAGAGGGCTGGGGGTGGGGGGGATGTAACACTTGGTCGTGGGTGCTAGGCAACACGTCCCATCTTCCCATTTTCTTCAGACTCTTTGATGGCTTCCTGATGGTCCTGGAGTAAAAATCGGAATCTGGACAGGATCTCTCAGGCCCTGTGTGGTCTGGCCGGTTTCTGTTCTTCAGCCTCGTGTTGGCTCCAGCCATCCTTTCCTCCTTTCAGGTTCCCTCCTACGTCAAGACCTTTGCACATGCTGGTCCCTCTGCCTGGAGTGCCTTTTTTTCCATTTTCACCTGGTTAATTCTTTGATGTCCCTTCCTTAGGGAGAACCTCCTCTGATACCTCCCCACCCTGGGTTAGGTCAGGATGCCCAGTTTTATACTCGTATGAAATCATGTACCACTTCCAGCCCTTCCCTGGGATTATGCATTTATCTGGGCAATGATTTGTTGAAAGCCTGTCTTGCCACTTGACTGGAAGCTCCATGAGGGCAGAAGCCTTGACTTTGCTGCTGCTGACTTGTTTGCCGAGGAGTTAAGGGGGAGGGGGTCGTAGGCATGAGCCCAGGTTAGGGGGCTGGACCACAGAGCCTGTTGAGGTTCCTGACCTTGGGTGGGCATGGCTGGTGGGTGCATTCTGTAAGATGCCTTCTCTCCCTGGTCTCAGGTCAAGCTCTCCGTGTACTGGGACTACATGAAGGCGATAGGACTTTTCATCTCCTTTCTGAGCATCTTCCTTTTCCTGTGTAACCACGTTGCTTCTCTGGCCTCTAACTATTGGCTCAGTCTCTGGACTGATGACCCCATCGTCAATGGGACCCAGGAGCACACGAAAGTCCGGCTGAGCGTCTATGGAGCCCTGGGCATTTCTCAAGGTGGGCCTCCCTGCCCCCCACCTGCTGTTGGCACTTGGAGCCACTCCCATGTCTTGTTACAGGATTGGGTCCCCCAGCTTGTCAGGGTTTTGCAGACCCACAAACCAAACATACATGAATAGTAACTATCACATAATAGACACTGAGGTATTTGTAGAATGAATGTTCCTCGAACGCTCTGTTTCGTGTGGCCCTAGGAGACAGAGGGGAGGGGAGCTCCAATGTGCCCATTTTACAGATGAGGAAAGTTGAGAAATAGAAGGCGACCAAGGGCCCTTGCCCCTCATTGTTCTGGCAGGGTAATGGTGTTTCTGTAAAGTCTTATTTGTGGACTTTTGCCTGCTGCCTAAAGGTGGGAATTAGTTTATACTAGTGGTTCATAACGCAGGCAGTGTTGTCCTCAGAGGACATTAGCAATATCTAGCGATACTTAGAGTTGTCACAGCTTCAGAGTAGGGGTGGGTACTGCTGGCATCTAGAGGCCAAGAATGTTGCTAAACATCCTGCAGTGCACAGCACAGCCTCCACAGCAGAGGATGTTCCAGCCCCAGATGTTAATAGTGAGGAAGTTGAGAAATCCTGCATATACCCTTCCTGTGGTCCCATGAAGGTACCTAGACACAGCAGCGTTAATAGTCATAGCTAATGTTTACTGAGCACTTACTTGGTGCCTGGTTCTGTTTTAAACACTTTAAGGTGTTTTAATTTATTTTACTTTTGCAGCAATCACATGAGGTAGGAGCTAATGTTTTCCCCATTTTAGAGATGCAGAAACTGAGGCCCAGAGGGGTTAAGTAAGTTGCCCAAAGTCATGAAGCTAATCCGTGGCACAGCTTGCATTGAGCAAGGCAGTGTGGCTCAGAGCCCATCCTCTTCACCACCACGCTACATGGTCCCTGAGCTGTGTGTTTATGTGCTCGTAAAAATGATGTATTTATGATAAATAGTGTATGCATTCTGCATTTTGAGCACTTCTTGTGTACCAGGCACATTGCCAAGTGGGCCCTTTATGTTAAGCAGTGCTACAAGATGTGTCATTGTCCCCATTTTACAGTTGAAGAAACTGAGGTGCAGAGAGGTTAAGTGACTTAAGGAAGGTCCCATGGCTGGTGAGTGGCAGCGATAGGATTTGGCTCCAGAGTCTGTTGTCCTAGCCCCTGCCTCATGGCTTCCTTCTTTGATCAAGGAGACCAAGATCGAAGCCTCTCTATCCCTGTGAAATCACCTCTCTGAAGAGAAAGGGTGCCCTACTGTGGCTTGTTTGGAGGGACCATAAATGTCACATGATCTCCAAGAGATGGCTTTGAAAAAACCAGAAGAGCAGGCAATTTCTTAATCCCTAAAACTCCCTCAAAGGGCTAGGGTCTGTGGCCTTCAGATTATAATTAAGAGAAGATAGAGCACAGAGAGGGTGTGATGTTGACCTGGACCCACAGCAGCAATGTCTGTTCCAGAGCTGTGCTGTCCAGTATGGTAGCCACCGGCCTCATGTGGCTATTTGAATAAAAATTAAATTCATAAAAATTAAATAAAATTAAAATATCAGTTATAGAGTTACACTAGCCATATGACAAGTGCTTAATAGTCACATGTCGCTAGTGGCTACCACATGGGACAGCACAGATACATACCATTTCCATTATCACAGAAAGTTCTGTTGTACAGCGCTGGTCTAGAGGATGTGGCATACAGATTAAGAGCATGACGCTGGAGCAGGCTGCTGCCGTTGGAACCCCAGCTCTGCTTCTGATTGGCTGAGTCTATTGAGGGCAAAGGAATTCACCTACCTGAGCTTCAATTTCCTTACCTCTGTGGCATGGGTACTAATAGAACTTATACAGGGTCCTCATAAGGATTAGATGCATGTAAAACTCACACGGTGAGGTTTGTGCATACTAAGTGCTCGATTAATAATTGCCACCATTATTATTGTTATTAGAAGCTGGGAGTCCAGGCTGCTTGGTCCACAGGGTCACATGGCCACTCGTCCCTGCCCTCAGCCCGGTCCCTCTCCCATTGTGGAATTTAACGCGAGAGTGTTTGTAGGTATCACAGTGTTCGGCTACTCCATGGTGGTGTCCGTCGGGGGCATCTTCGCCTCGCGCCGCCTGCACCTGGACCTGCTGCATAACGTCCTCAGGTCGCCCATGAGCTTCTTTGAGCGGACCCCCAGCGGGAACCTGGTGAACCGCTTTTCCAAGGAGCTGGACACGGTGGACTCGATGATCCCGCAGGTCATCAAGATGTTCATGGGCTCCCTGTTCAATGTCATTGGCGCCTGCATCATCATCCTGCTGGCCACTCCCATGGTGGCCGTCATCATCCCGCCCCTGGGCCTCATCTACTTCTTTGTCCAGGTAAGAGGTGGGGCCTTAGGGTCCAGGACGAGCCCAGCTCTGTATCACTCTCCATGTGAGCACAGGGCTCCCTTTGTTTTGTGTTTCCTCAGTGTGGGGCTGGAGGAGGGTTAGATTTATTTTTGTCAGTTTTGAATACCTAAGTTGATTGTTTTTAGCTTGCAATAACCAAATATCCTTTCTTCCTAATAATAAGGGTTTTTTTTTTAAGCTGTAAGTTATAAAAGAAAATAAGCTATAGCCATAAAGGCATCTTTATTATTAAAATTCCTTTAAGTATGAAATTCTTTAGGTCCTAAGTCCCCTGCAGATAATGAAGACATGAATAACAGCAACTTAAATATTTTTTTCCCTTGTAATAGAAATCTTGAGGTGGGCTATTCAGGGCTGGTGTGGCAGCTCCATGAGTTTGTTAATATCCCAGACTCCTTCACTGTGGGTTTTTTTCTGGTGGGGGGGGCGCGGGTGTTGTTTTATCGTCTTTGCCTTCCGTTTTTAAGTTGGTCTCATGGTCCAAGTTGGCTACTGGAGCTCCAACCATCACATTTCTATTTCAGAAAATAAGCTTGAGGAAGGGGAACAGGGCAAGGGAGCATTTGACAGCTGAGTCAACATCAGCTGTGGTGCTTCCAGTTGACAGATGAGCATGTTGAGGCCCAAGTGGTGGAGCTGGGAATGTGAACTTGTGCCCGGTTCGAAAGCTCTCGCTGGTAACTGCAGTGCTGCATTGTGCTTTCCTGCCTCTGAGAGGTTAGCTGCAGCACAGTTGCTAGTGGGGGACTGCTGTTTAGATGGGAGCGTAATGACTGCTGCACAAAATAAGAGTAGGAAACCATGAGGTGCTCCATACCTCAAACCGCACTCTGTGTGGCCTGTTTGTGTGGGTCCTGGGAGGCCTTGGCCCAGTCAGCCAGCGCCCAAACCCTCCCACACTGTGGCCCAGTGACTGGTGAGTGTGAACAAAGGTGGAATCAGAGCAGGTCCCGGACCCTCGCTGTGTTCTCTTTAAATTGGTGCCAGCTTTTCTGGAAAGTCATCCAGCTGCATTTACCAAAAATGTTATCCGAGTTCATACCCTGGCTGGACAATTTCCTGAAGGACCCAATTCAAGAGAACGAAATGGGCCAAATGTGACGTTTGAGGCAGCTCAAATATCTGCCAGTAGCAGGGCCTTGAGCACACTATGGAACGACTGGGTAATGGAATGTTATGTGCCTTTAATGGGAGAATTAAGAAGACACTGTTGTGACACTGACAATTTTATTTTTAAACAACAAAGGGAATGAAGTTAGCAAAGGACCATGTTGTCAGGACACTGTCATTATAACTAAGATGAAATGCATAATGTGTGTGGGCAGGACTGAAAAGAGAGGCACAAAAATGAAAACATTGCCTTTCTAAGGGTTGAGATTATGGGAGAATTTCGTTTTTTAATGGCTTTTAACTGAATATATGCCTGTCCTATAACCCAGCAGTCTCAATCCTCAGTGTATATGCAAAAGAAGAGAATCTATCAAGCAAAGAAAAAAAAAAGCTAGAATGTTCTTAGCATCTTGATTCATAATAGCCCCAAATGTCCATCACAGGAGGATGAATACATACATTGTGGTATATTTATACAATGACTCAGCAGTGAAAAGGAATGAACTACTAATACACACAAGGAGGATGAATCTCAGAGATGCTGTGTTGATCGAAAGAAGCCAAACACAAAAGAGTACATTTGTGTGATTGTGTTTGTATGAAGTTGAAGAACAGGCAAGTACAATGTGATAAAAGTCAGAGCAGTTGGGCTATAAGGGGTATTGACTGTGAGAGGACACAAGACTTTTCTAGATTTTGATCAGGTAGTGGCTATGCAGGTGTAGATAAACATAAAATCCACAAAGCTGTAAAGATTTAGTGCACTTTCCAGTGGATATAAGTTGCATCTCAAAAAGTGGCTTTTGGGCTTCCCTGGTGGCACAGTGGTTGAGAGTCCGCCTGCCAATGCAGGGGACGCGGGTTTGTGCCCCGGTCTGGGAGGATCCCACATGCCGCGGAGCGGCTGGGCCCGTGAGCCATGGCCACTGGGCCTGTGTGTCCGGAGCCTGTGCTCTGCAACGGGAGAGACCACAGCAGTGAGAGGCCCGCGTACCGCAAAAAAAGAAAAAAAAGGCTTTTAAGGGTATATGTGTGTAAGAGTATGTATTGTCTCACTCTCTCTCTTGGGAAAAGATCTAAAAGGTTATACACTGAAATCTGAATAGAGCTTATCTCTGGATTGTGGGCTTAATGTAATGTTTATCTAATCTTTCTGTCTGTATCACTCCAAGATTTTAACAAATGGATATACATTACCGTTTTAACTTAAAAGCAAGTCATTTTTAGAAAAAGGAATGTAAGAGGTAAGATGATGTGGAATTCTGTTTGGGCTTCCACATTGCTGGAATAAGGGATTTCTGCCTGTGGAACTGTTTGGCATCCATGAAAATTACCCGGCACACGTCTTAGTGTCTCGGCTCTCAGCCCGCTTCCTGGCACAAGGCAGGTGTGTGTCGAGCAGTTATTTTCACTCAGGAGACCAGGCACTGTCTTGGTCTCTGAAAGAGTAAGGTGAGTCCACAAGGTGGATTATGTCTCCTGGAACAGAGCTTAAAAGGAAAGTTAATTATTTTTCAAAAATCAGGCTATTCCTTAACAAAAATAAATCTCAGGTTAGCTTTTTAGAGGAAATAAAATTCTGAGGACATGACAAGTGGAATAAATTGAGCAGGTAAAATGTTTTAGAACTGTTTCCACCCAGGATGAAAGAAAGCCAGGGAGAGGAGGTGATTCCAGGAGAGGGTAATGGGGACGGATGCCAGGGGGCCTTGAGCCAGACAGGAGGTCTGGATTTCATTTCGCCGCCAGGGGAAGAGATGGCATCTGACCGTGTGCAGGGATTGTCAGAACCACTGTTCTGAGATGGCCCTGGTTGGTGTGGTCCCTGGATGAGTTTTCAGAGTTTCTGGAGCCCCAGAAAGCTGCCCAGCTTGCAGTTCAAATGACCACGTGAGCTGCCATCCAGAAAGAAGTGGCTGACCTTGGAGGCCCTGTCAGAGCCACCTGTTCTGTTCAGTGCTCTCCGTGGAAGGTCGCTGCCCCCAAAATGGCCCAGGGCACCCGGCGCAGGCCAGGAGGCAGGAGGCCATGTCCCTGAGCACCCTGTGTCTGCTTGCCCGACTCCGCTGTTGATGAAGGAGTGTTACATCTGCAGCACGTCCAGGAGAATAGAGGTGTCTTCAGATGACCAGTCCACCCTGTGTCACAGCTCCTCAGCACTTCCAGTGAGCGACTGCATCTTGTTAACCATCCTTAACGAGCTGAATGCCTGGGGTTAGGGCAGGAGCAGAGCAGATGTGGTCACTGTCCATGGGGACAGGTGGAGGCAGGGTTTGCGCTGAGGTCTGGTTGTCATAAAGCCACACTGCAGGGTCCATAAACCCTAGAGGCCAGTGGTATCAGAGGGGCCATGCAGTGCTGAGGTTAGCACTTTGACAGGGTTCAGATCCTAGCTCTGCCGCTTCCTAGCCACGTGACCTTAGGCAAGAGGTTGTCTTTAGTTTACTCATTGTGAAACTGGAATGAGCACCTTGTAGGTTTTTGGTGAGGATTGCATGAGTTGATATATGTGAAAGAACTTAAAACAATCCTAGGATGCTGGGCTCCACGTAAGCGTTAGCTATTATCATCATCACCACCATCATCATCATCAGCTATTATCACCACTGGCAGTATTGTGGGCGCTGTGCCTGCCGTTCGCCAGCTGAGTCGGGACACCCTCTGAGAGCAGCCCAGCTCCAACATTTCGCCCCTGGAAGGATCCAGACGTTCTCCAGCACAGCCCTGGGAGGCTGGGATGAGGGGCCCTCGCCCACTCCCAGTCTGTTCTCTCCCACAGAGGTTCTACGTGGCCTCCTCCCGGCAGCTGAAGCGCCTCGAGTCAGTCAGCCGCTCCCCGGTTTATTCCCACTTCAACGAGACCTTGCTGGGGGTCAGCGTCATCCGCGCCTTCGAGGAACAGGAGCGCTTCATCCGCCAGAGCGACCTGAAGGTGGACGAGAACCAGAAGGCCTATTACCCCAGCATCGTGGCCAACAGGTGGGCGTGGGGCTGTGGGAGGGGGCAGGGAGAGCCTCTTGGTTCCTGGATGAGGGTGTGGAGCCATAGACTCTGTGTGAGGAGAGGACATTATAACCATTAAAAGCAGAAAGGAGCACGGTCAGCACGCAGCTCCAGGGGCATTGGAGTGCAGGGACAAAGAGTTCTTCTGGGGTCAGAAGATACTGCAGGATCCATCATTTAGCTGTTGTCCTGGTGTTACAGGATCATCAGTGACGGCAGCCTCAGCTATTGAGTGTTTTTGTGCCATGCTTCTCATCACACCACCCCTGTGTGATGAGTATTGGAAGCAATTTACTTATATTAGGTTGAACTGTGTGAAATTGCCATTTGGGGGATCAAGAATGATTAAATATCATCAATCAAAAAAAGGGGGTAGAAGTTTGCTAATTACTGACGAATCTGGAAAAGTATCCTCCTCACTTGCTTACCTCCTGATGTATTTTTTGAGATGTGGGATGGAAAACTCTGGGGAGGGGTAATAGCACCCTGGAAATGACCCACTGTGCACAATGTAATCCCGTCGTGTAAGACTGGGCAGGGATATTGTGAATTACTGGAGCGAACCTTGCCTTCCCTTGAAGAATTTTTAGGGAGTTTGTCAAAATCTGGGTGTGTGTGTGGGAATAGCTCACACCCTGAGGACCAGTCACATGGATCTTAATGCTGTAGTGGAAAAAATATTGATAATGCTGTCTTTTCTAGAATGCCTTACGTTTTAAAACATTAAAATAATGTTCCTATGTGATATCTTATAAAAGTTAGCCTTAAACCAGTAAACCTGTTTATATTTTAAAGGTAAGGTAATACATTTTAATGTTTCTGAAATGAGGGTGATCTGGGTCTGGGAACCCTTTGGCTGTGTTGAAAATGGTGGTTTATTTCTCACTCCCACCTCCCCGTCTCCTGCCAAGAAGAAAGTTATTTTAAATCAGGGGGTACCTCTTATAGTTGATGATTTCTTAGTATTTAGGAATTTTCTGGGACATATTTTTTAAAAACACACACATGGGTATATTTTAAAGGTTTCAGTGAGAAAAAGTTGGTTCTTAAAAAGGCAAGCTTCAGTTTCCTGGAAAGGTCACTTCTGGAGCACTCTATTTTAGTTCCTGGGCTTGCCAGATTAGTGAGGAATTCCTGAAATCGTGTCCCTTCGGCCCTCCTTCCCCATGTCCCATGAGCAGGGCAAATGAGGCCTCTCTCAGGAACTATTGGGGAATTATTTCAGTTATCAAAGTGGCCACCACCACCACCCCACCCCCCCAGCTATAAATCAAGTCCCTGAAAAGCTGACTCTGGGCGTGTGTGTGTGTGTCCGTCCATGTGTCCATGTGTCCATCCGTCCCTCTGCCTGTGTCTCCACGTAGGTGGCTGGCTGTGCGGCTAGAGTGTGTAGGCAACTGCATTGTCCTGTTTGCTGCCCTGTTTGCAGTGATCTCCCGGCACAGTCTCAGTGCTGGCTTGGTGGGCCTCTCGGTGTCTTACTCACTGCAGGTAAGAGGGGGTGCTCTCAGGTGGATTTTCCGGTTCTCTTAATGGGGAGCCAATTGTCAGGTTTTGGGGCCTTTGCTCTGGATCTCTGTGGGAGTGGGGGAGAGGAAACGGGGGCCAAGTAGAGTTTGACGAGCAGGTCTAGAGCCCAGTGACCGACTGGTGCAGGAGAGGAATTAGATGTGAGGCCCTGATTCCCCCATCAGCCAAGGAGAGTCCTTGATGGCATGAGAGGATGCCCCCAGCTACAAGAGATATGTACTTAATCCTATAAATTTCCCTTGAAGCACTGCTTTAGCTGCACCTCCCAAATTTTGATACATTGTGTTTTCTTCTTATCATCTGGTTCAAAATATCTCTTCATTTCCTTTCTGATTACTTGTGTGGCCCCTGCGGTATTTTGACATGTGGTGCTTGCTTAAGAGACACAATGTAGGAAGTCTGGCTACAGTATGTGGGGCTGCTGTTTTCTGTACCTTGGTTATCTGAAACATTTCATAATGAATAATGACTTCATGGAAATAAAGCAACTCTCGCTCACTCTAGAAGCTCCATGTGACTCTTCCACTCACAGGTCACCACATACTTGAACTGGCTTGTTCGGATGTCGTCCGAGATGGAGACCAACATTGTGGCCGTGGAGAGACTCAAGGAGTATTCAGAGACTGAGAAGGAGGTAAAGCAAGCCCCCGGCCTGATGTCTTGGCCATGATCTTCAGTGTGGCTTTACCCAAAAGAATCCTTTGAGCCCTACCACATGGGCCTTCAATAGGCAACCTCTATCTGACAAAAATAATCTGTTATTTGTTATGTATTTTGCGGGGGGGGGGGACTTACATTCTGGAAAGTGAATCATACTAATTTTCTCTTTAAATAAGTTTAAACATTAAATACAAATGAGTCGTTTAAAAATATTAAAAGTCAGGAACAAGAGAATCAGCACATGGATATTGCAAAAATCATGTTATTGGTAAGGAATTGACCAAAGTTTGGGAAACCCTGCATTTATTTAACCCAAGTCCTCATTTTATAGGTGGAATAAAAAGGCAGGTAGGGAGGGACGATGGCTGGTCCGAGGTCATGCATGGTCCGTGGGACAGCTGGGAGTAGGACCCAAGTCTCCAGGCTGTGGTGCCATGTTTCCGCTAATAACTGCCTTATCCTGCCCACACACCACCTCCGAATAGCAGTAGTAGTGTTAATAATGGTAATAGCAGTGATGCTTGGAGATACCACCATCCCCACTACTACCAATAATAATAGTAATAGGGACACACAGATTGTGCTCTTGTGGGGTGTCAGGACCTGTACTTAACATTTTACATAGAATAACTCATTTATTCTTTACACAGCCTTATAACTCACATTCTACTGTTATCCCCATTTTGCAGGTGAGGAAATGGACAGAGAGAGGTTAAGTTGCTTGCCTAAGATCACATGGCCGGTAAATGGCAGACCCAGGATTTGGGTGTGTGCCTTTATGCCGCACTTTATTCCAAGAAAATGCCCCTTGGGAATGAGACCAAAGGGGCCCTGGTTAGACTCTGTCTTGAGGATTTACAGAGGTGAACTACACCAGGTCCTTTAATGCTCTGACTCGGTGAACCAGGGCCCACGTCATCAGAGCATCTGTGAGAATGGTGTGAGCGCCCCCTGTGGAAATAAGAGCACATTACACCAGGAGTTTCCCACCTACACTGAATTTATCTATTTATTTATTTTTAATTTATTTTTATAAAAGCTTTCGAGATGTAATTCTTATGCCACTCAGTTCACCCGTTTAAAGTGTGAAATTCAATTTAATTTACTTTAAAAATATTTTACTTATTTTACTACTTTTAATTATTTTATTTTTATACCTTTAGAATAAGAGCATATTTGAAAAAGAGAAAGATCACCAGAGCCCTACCACTATTAAAATATATGTACTTACTTATATGTTTATTTATATTATGTATGATATTTATTTATAGGTAGAAAGCTCCACCCACTTCTCTCCAGTCCCCTCTGTGTTCTTATAGCATGTCCCCTTATTTATATAAAGAGTGTAAAAAAAAAATTAACGTAAGAAGTTTATGGGCGAGAAAGGATGGACTTTCTCTTTTATTGCCCTCACCATTCCTCTCCTTCCCTGAAGATAGCCCTGAGCCTGGCCCAGAGCACATCCAGGGGTAGACCTCAGGAAATGCTGAACTGAACAAAGCAGCTTTTCAGAAATAGGGGCTGTGTGACCCCAGGCAAGTTGCTTTCTCTCTCTGTGTTTCAGTTTCCTCATGTGTAAACTGGGGATAGGAAAGAACCCACTTGTGGGATTGTACTGAGGATTAAACGAGGTAATGTGATAGAGTGACCTTCAAGTGTTAGCTGCTGCTTTTACTGTGCACCCTCCAGACCTTAGAAGCCATTGGAGTATCTCACCTTTACCCTTGTGTCTGTCTAGAGAAGACCGCTCATTCATTGATTCAGTCCATGAGTGTTTATTGAACGCCTGCTATGTGCTCTGGGCCCTGGGATATAGCAGTGAATGAATAAAAGCACCTGTCCTCATAGAGGGGATTTCCAGTGGGCGTGGGTGACAGAACAAGCAAATATGTACTTAAAATGCTAGGAGGTGGGTAAGTGCTCTGAAGGAAAATGGAGGTGGGGAGGGGAGAGATGGGCCCAGGGCTAGGAGGGTGGTCTCATTGGCCTGAGATCTGCAGCAGGTGAGCAGGTCCAGAGGGTAGTTTGGGGAAGAGCACTCCAGGCAAAAGAAGCCGCAAGTGCAAAGGCCCTGAAGCAACAGGTGTGGGTGTTCATGGAACAGTCCAGAATTCAGTATGGGGAGCGTAGTGAGTGAGAGAGAGGGCCGTGTGGTCAGAGGGGTCATGGAGGCCACTCACACAGAGCCTTAGGGCACATGAGATGGACTTCAGACTCCTGAACCCCACCCCACCACCCACTGTGATTGCAGGCTCCCTGGCGAATCCAGGAGATGGCACCCCCCAGCAACTGGCCCCAGGTGGGCCGAGTGGAGTTCCGAGACTACGGCCTGCGTTACCGAGAGGACCTGGACCTGGTTCTCAAGCACATCAATGTCACCATCGATGGAGGGGAGAAGGTGGGTACACTTTGACCCCCACCAGTTCACGGTCGGGCGTAGGTTGCCACCAGGCAGATGAAATGAGCTTCGTCATTTTCCCAGTCTGTCCCTGTCCCAAACCACAGGGTGGAGTGGCCTTTTGGGGAGGGGCTTACGGAAGTAAAAGCTGCTCAGAGAGTGTCCCAGCAGGGTTGCAGACTGGTAGCCCGAGAGCCAAAGGAAGCCCACAGATATGTTTTGAAAGAAATCTAAGTTGCAAATGTTGAAAAATCTGGAATGTTTTATATAAAAATCCATTTCCTGCTTTTCTTGAAAGATCAGAACATGTGGCAACACTGGGCCCATCCTCCTTGCCTGGCCCCTTCTAGACAAGACATGAGGCTCCCAGTTCACTGACTGGTCCCTTCCTGCTCCATTCATGTGCCCACTCAGCCCCGTAGGCATTCGAGTTGGCAGTCTCTAGAACAGAAAGATGTCATCGTCACTACTAGGGATGGCTCAAGGGACATGTGAAATGGACAGAATTTTGGAACGTATTGCTGTTCCTGGAAGACATCCTTGCCCTGAGACCAAGGGTCCTCCTGGCCGTTTGCCAGAAGACAGTGTTTCATCTCTGAACATACAAATTTGTTAAACTTCCTACCTCAAGGCTCAGAATGTACCGTTCCCATGAGAGAATTTCTCCAACTTATAACAAGGGGAGGAACAGAGTGGGCGGTGTTCTCACTGACGCTTTATGGCTTATGTTACATCATGAGACTCTGCTCTGTGAGTTGCTGTCAGAGGGTGGAGGAGCTGGCCTCCTTGGAGCCCAGATGAGAAGGGAGAGTTCTAACTGGAACATCAATCATTGGCCGTTAAATGGGGAGCCCAGTTCCCTCAAGAGAGGATAAGTAGAGGCCAGGTCGTATCCCTAACCTCTTTCTGCTTACTCAGCTGGGATGCAGGGGGATCTGCTTGAACCTTTGAGATATTTCAACAGCTCAGATATTTCACCAGAACAATCTGATTGTTACTTAATATTATCTTGAGTTGAAAATAACTAATTTATTAAAAAGAGCTGATTAGCTATTTGTAATGAGGTGGATGGACCTAGAGTCTGTCATACAGAGTGAAGTAAGTCAGAAAGAGAAAGACAAATACCGTATGCTAACACATATATATGGAATTTAAGAAAAAAAATGTTATGAAGAACCTAGGGGTAAGACAGGAATAAAGACACACACCTACTAGAGAGTGGACTTGAGGATATGGGGAGGGGGAAGGGTAAGCTGTGGCAAAGCGAGAGAGTGGCATGGACATATATACACTACCAAACGTAAAACAGATAGCACAGGGAGATCAACTCTGTGCTTTGTGACCACCTAGAGGGGTAGGATAGGGAGGGTGGGAGGGAGGGAGACGCAAAGGGAAGAAATATGGGAACATATGTATATGTATAACTGATTCACTTTGTTATAAAGCAGAAACTAACACACCATTGTAAAGCAATTATACTCCAATAAAGATGTAAAAAAAAACCTAATTTTAATTTCTAAAAAGAGCTGGCAAAGAGAAGGGAGTCCTTCTTGACCTTTGGCCGAAACAGCCCCTAAAGGAATGTCTCTGGGAAGCTGCTGAGGTGGGGGCTACGGTGGGAGGTGGGTTGACCAGATGACTGAATTGCTCTGGGGCTGGTACTTAAAATGAGGGCACCATGGGGCAGGAGGTAATCCCAGATAGCAGCATTCCCACCTCACCCTGGGCCCTTCCTGTCCCACAGGTTGGCATCGTGGGGCGGACAGGAGCCGGGAAGTCATCCCTGACCCTGGGCTTGTTTCGTATCAACGAGTCTGCCGAGGGAGAGATCATCATTGACGATGTCAACATTGCCAAGATCGGCCTGCACGACCTCCGCTTCAAGATCACCATCATCCCCCAGGTGGGGCCGACGGGCTGGGCTGGGTCACGCTGAAAGCAACATGTGTGTATTTTCAGGACAAACCTACCTTTATTCCTACTTTGTTACTTTCATGATTTTTTTTTTTTTTTTTTACTGAAATTATGCTGTGTTTCTTCACGGAATCTCCTCTTAGCACATAAATAACAGTGAGCCTTAAGCAGGTTTCATTCATTCCTTCACTCCTGCCACCCAGTAGGCAGCTTCCTGAGCATCTCACAGGATCCAGTTAAGATACCGGCTTCTCTACCGGCTGTCGGTCAGCACAGGGATCTCTGACCCTCCCAAGAGCTAGGCGAGAATGATGAATTTTCTAGACTGATGCCAGTAGGTGGTGATTCCTTAATACGTTGCCTTTTAGTGTTGTTTTGCCTTATATTTCTCCTAAGGTTCTTATTTGGAGGTGGGATGGGGAGGAATCCAAGTACCTTGCAGTTAGGAATTGGCCATGCTGCATCTCCCTTCCCGAAAGTTCCCAACACATTTGCATATTGAATGCTCTGGGAAATCTTGCAAGAAGGAAATCTATTTTATTTCACTTAACCCAGAGTCTTCCAGGCTATTTTCCCCCGTTATTGACATCTTCGGAAGTGGTGATTCCGAGGGACTGTGAAACCCCATTTTGAACAATTCTGGCAAGAACTTTCTACATTGTGCCTCTTTGCCCCACCCGTGTCCACCGTGACGTGAGCCTCACACGTCATCTGCCATCTTCCCTCCGAACAGGACCCCGTTTTGTTTTCGGGCTCCCTCCGCATGAACCTGGACCCATTCAGCCAGTATTCGGATGAAGAGGTCTGGACGTCTCTGGAGCTGGCCCACCTGAAGGGCTTCGTGTCGGCCCTTCCCCATAAGCTGAACCACGAGTGCGCAGAAGGCGGGGAGAACCTCAGGTAGGCGGGGGTGAGGCCCCAGCTGGGTCTCCTCGGCTTCAGCTCTCCCTCCGTCAGGGCGTTTGTAGGTTTTGTCCATTTCCATCTGGTTCAGACCTGGGTTTGAGTCCCAGCTCTGCCACGTGAGCTGTTTGTCTCTTAACCTCTTGGGGCCTCAGTTTCAGTATCTAAACTGGGTTTCAATCTAGGCTCATTTTACCATGAGGTGTAACCAGGATGGCCAAAATGCTTCCTTGCTTACACCACGTCCATTCAATGGGGAGTGGCTATCAGTTGTTAAACTTTGGAAAGGCTTCTCTTCCAGTCAGTAAATAGCACTGCTCTGAGCCCTCCTTGTCCCCACCCACTGCCCCAGCTGCCGTGGTCCGTCTCCCAGGCTCCCCAGGATCCACCCATGATCCAGCAACTGAAGTCTTAATGCCTGGCGCAGCAGGGATCCTGTGCCTCTTACACTTATCCATCACCATGACAACCAAGCACCAAACCTCAGGTGTGTTCACACAGCTCACACACTGGGGCGGTCAGCCAGGCAGCTCTGCTAGTCTTGGCTCACGCACGTGGGTGGTGGCCACTGACTCTAGGCAGATCTATTCGGCCTCTACTGGGGGCAGTTAGATTCTGCCCCGTGTGTCCCTCATCCTCCAGCAGACCAGCCCAGGCATATTGTCATGGTGATGGCAGAGGTGCAAGAGTGAGCAGAGCCTGGTGTGCATTCCCATTTCAAGCCTCTGCTGGCCTTATGTTTGCCAGCATCCCATTGGCCAAAGCCAGGCACGTGACTGAGTCCAAAGTCCGCAGTGAGGGGCCCCACAGAAGGCATGGATATGGGATCATTTTTGCTACCTGTTATTTTGGATATCATCTCTGAGCCCTGTGTTGAGAATGATTCTGAGCCTGCTTCTAGCTCAACGGGAAGACCGTTCTGATAGATTAGTGATGTCTGCCATGGGCACAGATGTGGGGAGTGGAAGTGCTCTCCTGGTCTAAGCAGCACCCAGTGTCTCTTCTCCCTTCTGTCAGTTCAGGCCTAGGCTCAGGGTCAGGGTGGTTTTGACACTGTTTCCTGGTCCTTCTCTCCCGGTCAAGCGTCGGGCAGCGCCAGCTTGTCTGCCTGGCCCGGGCCCTGCTGAGGAAGACGAAGATCCTTGTGTTGGATGAGGCCACGGCGGCTGTGGACCTGGAAACGGACGACCTCATTCAGTCCACCATCCGGACGCAGTTTGACGACTGTACCGTCCTCACCATTGCTCACCGGCTCAACACCGTCATGGACTACACAAGGTGATGCCCTGGCACAGAAGGCCTCTGGACCTTATGGTCCACCCCAGTCACCCGTTCGTTCATTCATTAATTCATTCATTCAACACTGTCGTTATGCCTAGTGACAGCCCGAGCTGGTGGAACCTCTCTTTGTCCTGGTTAGTACCAGGCATTTTTTGACATCACTCAGTCATTTATTCAGTCAACACATGTGTGGAGTGCCTGCCACATTCCTGGCTCCGTTCCAGGCACTGGGGACTGAGCAGGGAGCTGTCAGACAGGGAGCCTGTCTAAGGGACCTTACAGATTAGTTGGGGGCTGGTTGCAGAGACAGACAATAAACACAGCAACAAATAAAAGGGAATTGTGCTGGGAAGGAAATATAAAAGGTGATAGAGAGTACTGGGGGTAGCATCACAGGACATTGACATTGACTAGAACTGGGGTTGAGGATGGGCAGCCAGGTGGAAGGCTACTGTAACAGTCCTGGCATAGGGTGTTAGGGGCCTGACCCAAAGCAGGGACTTGCCCAGGTGGGCTCTTGGGGCACAAGGTGCCAACCCCTTCCCCACCCCTCATGTCTGCGTCCCCTCCTTGCAGGGTGATTGTCCTGGACAAAGGGGAGATCCGGGAGTGTGGTCCCCCCTCCGGCCTCCTGCAGCAGAGAGGTCTCTTCTACAGCATGGCCAGAGACGCTGGCTTGGTGTGAGCCCAGAGCCGGTGCCGCTGCTCAGAACTGCAGGGCCGACATGCCAGCAGCCAGGGATGAGTCAGCATCCTTGGGAACCCAAGCCTCGCGTAGACTGAAACCAAAAAAAAAAGAACAACCCAAAACCAAAACACACAGAAAGCAGCCACCTTCTGGCCCCCTGCCTGGAGTTGGCCGTGAAGAAACAGGAGAGACACAGGGATGCAGTGCCCCCAAAACACGCACATCCTTGCCTCTGTTACCCCCACAGACGCACACGTTCTCACGCCCCTGGGAGGGCACATGTGCTCTCCGTGCTCTGTGGGGAGGTTTGGGCCGCCAGACTTCCAGAGAAATCAGTTGCATAAAAAACATGCTAGTGACCAAATCCAGCCAACTGCCTCAGATCTCTCCAGCCGAAGTCTGCGGGTTCCAAGCTTTCGAGAAACTCCCTGGTCCCCGGCACCTCTCTGTCCTTGCCTGGCTCTACCCAGATGCTTGTTTTCCCAAGGCTGCAGTTTGGAGGTGAGGGGCCTGGTGAAGGTCATTTTCTCTCTCGGGCAGTGTCCTGAGGGCCATGGACGCGCTTCTCACCAGCCATCTGGTCTTCTGGGTGCTCAGACGTGGGAACCAGTGTCACAGCGCTGCCTCCACCGGGACTTGCTTCATGGGCCAGAGGCCGCATGTCTCCCAGCGCTTCTCGTTGACGGGACTGCGCTGGCCTCCGGGTGACCTGGCCCTGGAGCTCCAGGCCGGGAAAGCTCTCTCAACGCCGACTTCCCCGCTTGACTGCTCACCTCGTCACCCACTCCCGTCTTTGCCTTGCCTTCCTTCCTCCCTCTTTCTACCTGTAGCTAGAATGGGTTTATGCCTCCAGGTGCCCGAAAGAGAAGACCTGCTCATGGTTATTCAGCATTCAAAGCCAAGAGCGCTGGTGCCTCCAAGTGTGAGCAGTTGGTACTGAAAAGAGCCCCGTTGAGTCTCCTTCTTGTTCTTAGATTTCAGTTTCTCACCCGCGGCCTCTGGTTGGCTGTCAGGGGCGGTGGGGTGGAGAACTTGACTTATGGTTACTGAGTCTCTTCTGGGACAGGAAAAGAACCCATTCATGAGTGTCAGTGAATTTCTTTTTTCTTTTTTCTTTTTTTTTTTTTAAGTACTGCTCGAGGGAGAAAAACAGTCTCGAGACTTTAATTTCTTGGGAGGAAGTACTGGGTCGAGGAGCGGTATCCCCGGGAATGGCCAGGTTGGCTCAGCATCTGGTGGTTGGTCCCTGTGTTCCTGGAAGGAAACGGGCAAGTGGGGTCCTTTCTTCAAAGCACGTTAGGTCCCTTGATTGGAGACCAAAGTGAGACCCCAAAAGCAAAGAGAGGTCATGGCTGCCCCAGGATTCATGCTCGCTATGTGAATTACGTTGCTGACTTCAAGCCAGAGAAGCATCTTTCTTCTTTTAGGTGGAAATACATATTTATTTTTTGTAAGTTAAACCATTATTTCACATTAGATAAACCAAGTGTTTCTTGGGGATCTTTTTGTAATGACTTACACTGGAAACGTGAACATTTGCAAATAATTTGCAGTTAAAAAAAATATTTTATTTCTTTCTAAACGACTGTTCCATTTTCTTTCTAGCAAAGGTTCTTGCCGTCTCTCCAGGAGTCGGGATGGGGCACCCTTTCATCTGCTGCTGTTCTTTCTCCTTGGCGAGCATGTTGTTTCTAGCGGGAGCTCTTGGAATTGGGAACCTAGAGATTAAGAATCAGGTGGGGTTTGGTGGGGAATCGGCGTAGCACGGTGGACAGGGTCCTGCCCTTGTCATCTGCAGGCTGTATGACCCTAGGCAGGTCACTTAGTCTTCGTGCCTCAGTTGCCTCGTCTGTAAAATGGGCTGACCCCTGCCTCCTGAGCTTGTTGTGAAGATGAGCACTGATGTGTATGTTACGTGCATGGCCCAGGTTGGGTTCTAAGACACAAGGCAAACATCACACATGGCAAGAATTACCCTTGGAAATCCCTTTGTGGTGTTAGGCCAGGCTAGGCTATGCTGCAGTAACAAATTAGCCATAAACTCTTGGGACATGAATACAAGGGTGTATTTCTCATATATTTCTTGATGAGAATCAGGCGCCTCTCCTTTGGTACAATGACTGACAGATCCAGACTGTTCTGGTTTTATGACATCGCCTCTCAGGGGCTGGCTTCTGGGTCACCACAGCTGGGGAAGGGAAGTTGTGGATGACTCACACCCACTGTTAAGTGTCTCAAACCAGAAGTGACACATGTCAGTTCCACTCACAGCCTGTTGGCCAGAATTAGTCACATGGCCCCACCAGGCCACAAAGGAGGCAGGAAATGCAGGGACGCATAAGGAAGGAAGCCCCTTCCTGGGGTAACTGATGTCATTTCTGAGTTTTGGATAGTGGGGGAGGAAGACCGGGGTGTTGGGATCTGAGTTCATATTGGTGAGTCTGGACAGTGAGGAATGCCAGGATTTGGGGAGCACACACCCCAGAACCATGCTCCAAGGACACAAGCAGGTGGAGCGGCCAGCGCTGGCTGTGTGTCCCCTACCCGCCCCCTGCCTCCAGGCTGCCTTGTCTGAGGAGCTGGGAGGTGAAGGTGCTCAATGAAAAGCAGCTGCGAGGTTGTCACCCTTAGAATGAGAAGCACTTGGATGTGCCTTGTGGGGAGTCGATTTTAGATGTGGGCGTGTTTCTGTCTCAGGGCCTGGCCCTGAGTATTAAAATCCTGGGTCAGATGCTAAACGAGTGTGCAATCGGCGTGTGCCTTCCACGCCGGGAAGAGGGGCGGGTGCAGCATTAACCCTGAAGAGGGTGAGCCAGGGCGTGGAGGGGGGTGGGAGGGGGCCTGCACACCTGCTCTTCCAGGTGCATGCCCCAGCGCCGAGGAAGGAGAAGGGGAGAAGCAGGCTTTGTTGTGCATCTGCTGCGTGCCAGGCCCTGGGCTCAGCGCTTTGCACAGCTCTCCTCGTGAGCAGGGAGCCCCGGGCCAGAGAGCATCCCCAGCCATGCTTGCCTGCTCAGCTCGCTGGTCTTCTTCCAACCTCAGGGTCCTCTCTCTCTTCCCAGATGTCTGCGTCACCTGCTCCTTTCCCTGTTTGACGGGGGCAGCTCTGTGCAAGCAGGGCTGTAATCTCTTTATTTCTTGCTGAAGGCTCATCTCTAGAGCAGGGCATATGGCACGTGCTTAGTGACTGCATTCTCCAATCAGGGACTGTGCTGTCCCTGTGCCGGGCCGGGACCCAGAGAGAAGTCACTGGGGCCCTAGAACTTGCCCTTCCGGAGTTGCAGCTTCCTTGCTGGTACAACTGGGATCTTTGTAGCCACCTGGCCAGGTGGCTGTGAGGATGAAGACAGTCATGCCTCGCCCTTAGGATGCCTTCATACGTGTTGATGCCATCCACGCATTCATTTGTCTGTTCATCCATCCACCTATTCATTCCCTCCATCCATCCATCCAATCATACGGTCAGTATCTATTGACCCCTCCTACGTGCTATGTACCACACTGGGTGCGAGGGAAAGCACAGCCAATACAAATGCACAGATCTCTCGTCTCAGTTCAAGAAGGAAAGGAGCCCTTTCCTTCCCTTCTGGTGGGATTCTAGAGTGGAATTCAGCTCTTATCCATGAGCGATGTGCTAGAGCTAAAGGAATGTGCAAGAGGCAGTGTGGTACAGTGGTTAGGACGTGGGCGGCTCTGGCACCAGCCTTCCTGGGTTCAGATTCCTACTTGCTTACACTCTGTCTCAGTTTTGTCACCTGTAAAAGGGGCCTAATGATAGTACCTTCCTCAGCACAGCATCCTAGTAAGGTGTGGGGTGACTACCGGAAGGTAGTCACCCTCCGATTGTGAGGATTAACTGGGTGACAGGCATTTAGAGCAGGGCTGTGTGTTTGCTGTGACCAGTGGGAGTCGGGTGAGGTTTAAGGACTTACCGAGAGAGGCACTGACCAAGGAAGGTCTGTACATAGCTTTCCTGCCTCTTAGCTGTGCTCACCCGCCAGCCAGGCCCTGCTGGCAGGAGCCACAGCCAGGGGATTAATGGCCCGGGTGGCCCACGGGCTGGTGTCCAAGGAGCCATGGGGTGGGCCCAACAGCAGCCTTGTTAGTGGGCTCTTGCGGGCGCTGGTTCCGTGGCCAACACTCTGCTTCCTGGCAAAACACCTCCCTTCATGAAGGAGGCTCTTGTGGCCCTGGAACAACACCACGTGACCATGCCAAGCACACAGCTGCCACCTTTGCCTGCAGTCGCTCTGCCAGGGCATAAGCTGGCTCGGCTCCAGGAGGAGACATGAGAAGCACTGTGTCTGGTCCCTTCCTGCGCCTTGCAGTAGGACAGACACCCACACAAGATGACTTGGACTTTGGTGTTAGGCCCAAGGGGAGATCCCCACTCTGCCACTTACTAGCCAGGTGGCCTTGCCAGGTCACGTCTGCTCACCGAGCCTCAGTTTTCTCATCTGCAAGATGGAGCAAAATCACTAGTAATGATGGCATTTTGTTGGCATGACAGGGGGCGGGCAAGGGATGCAGACCCCCTACCCCATTTTGAAGGTATCAAAATGAACTATGGTCACATCTTGAAAAGGGGAGGCAGCCATGACTGGACCTGGATTTAGATTCCTCTGGGCCGAAAACCCTAAGTCAGGATGGACAATCAGAAAGTCCCCATGAGGTTAGGAGGTCAATAGGCACAATGAAAAAGTGTATACAGAACAAAGATACAACTCAAGCCTTAAACTATTCAAAGGAATATAGAAAAAAAAAAAAAATGTCCCCATGAGCTGTCTGGGACAGGGCAGGCCCTGTGTCCGGGCAAGTAGGTGTGTGTCTACGGGCCTCTCCTGACACAGCAACACAGCCGTTGCCCAGGTATCGGTGCATTATCGATGGCGGAGACCCATGACTCAACTGGCAGTGTCTGGAGACATTTTTGTCACAACTAGAGGAGAAGGTGCTCCTGGCTTCGAGTGGGTGGAGGCCAGGGACGCTGCTGAACA